GCTGCCCTCCACTATTCCTTTTCTCACCTGGAAAATGGAGACTCCTACATCAGGATACTCTTCATTGGCTACAGCTCCGCCCTTCAACACAGTTATCCCCCACAAACTCACCCACAAACTGTCCACACTGGGTGTGCTCCCCACGCTCTGTGACTCGCTCCTGGACTTTCTGACTGGCAGGTCCCAGACTGTCAGGATTGGCAATAGGATTTCAGCCAGCATTGTTACAAACACTGGCACCCCACAGGGATGGAGCTGGCTGATGTTCTCACCTCCATCTTCAACCTCTCCCTCAGCCAGAGCATCGTTCCCACCTGCTTTAAGAACAAAACCATCATCCCCCTTCCCAAGAACAGCCCAGTCACCTGCCTGAATAGGAGGGAGGTGGCCGGTCTGGTGTCATGGTGCAAGGACAATAATCTCAGCCTCAACATGGACAAGTCAAAGGAGATGATAGTGGACATGAGGAAGGAGAGGAGATCTCATCGGCCGCTTTTCATCCGGGGGCTCGAAGTGGAGAGGGTGAGCAGCTTCAAATACCTGGGCATCCACATCAGTGAGGACCTCACTTAGACACAACGCCACACAGCTGGTCAAGAAGGCCCAACAGTAGCTGTACTTCCTGAGGAGGTTTGGCATATCACCTAGGATCCTTTGCAACTTCTACAGCTGCATCATTGAGAGCATCTTGACCAGCTGCATCACTGTCTGGTATGGCAGCACTACTGCTATGGACCGCAAGCGCCTGCAGAGAGTGGTAAAGATTGCAGAGAAGATCACCAGGACTCCACTGCCCTCTCTGCAGAGCATTTACCACCGCAGGGTGCGTAGGAAGGCTGCCTCCATCCTCAAAGATCCCACCCACCCCCAGCACGGACTGTTTGCCTCCCTACCCTCTGGCCGGAGGTTCAGTGTGAAGTGTAGGACCACTAGACTGAAAAACTCTTTCTTTCCCTCTGCCATCAGACTCCTAAACAGCTGAGGAGTTTGTTACCAGGAAATACGTCATGTACTGTCAACCTGTACTGTTTACATTCTCAGTTTTCACATGCATAATTGCACATTGACTGTTGACTGCTGCACATGCTGCTCCCATACAGCATACATTGTGTTATTATATTCTTATATACTGTATTTTTATTATATTGCTGCATTGCTGCTTAAAATGCATTAGATTTTGTGTTACTTATTTATCTACTTTATATTTCATTTGTATTTTGTGGTATTCATGTAGACGGCAAAGTAAGAATTTCATTGTACAGGGAAACACGTTTCCTAACTGTGCATATGACAAACACTTTGACCGTTGACCCATTAAGAAATGGATAACATCCTGAGTTTAAGAATAGGAAACATCAAAACATCCTCACATGCACCACAAGTATTTTGACAGCAGCTTCTCCTTATCACAGTACATCAACATTGACATTAACTCAGAGCTGCAAAAGAAGGAGCCAGGATGATACTTACTTATCTTCAAAAAATCTCCTCCAGAAGTCAGCGGCATCGGCTTTGGTGATCCTGAACGTATCCCCCTGGAACTGTCCTCCGGGAAAGATGGCTTTGATTTCAGCCAACATGTGGCTGAAGATCAGAGACAGTTTGGTCAGGTTCCTCCTGCAGAGAAAAGGCCAGAAAAGTGAGGCAACAGTTGGTGCACCACTACAACTTCAAATGCTAAACAGACACCACAGGGAAAAATTATTTATCTTCAGAATGCTGGATATATGTGAAAATTTTGTTGACCTCAGGTTTAATGGCCCTGTTACATGGAAGCTGATCTTTCTGGACACTCTTAATCCAAGATGCAGTACTGTATACAATGAATGCTTCATTTCTCAAAAGTCTAAAAATAAATCATAAAACAAAAAAGGCTTGCATGTAAAAAGTCAGTAGCAGGGGATCCGTACTATATACCACATCTCATCTTTCACACATTCAATAAATCTGAACAAAAAGCAGTCTGTGTCACAGCCCTCAAATTGTTTTGTATTGTGAATGACACAGTCACAGTTACCAAATTCTGACATAACAGTGTTATATATTGAAAAACAAAGCTAAGTCTAGTCATTTTTCAGCCTGCAAAGTTGCTTTTGAAACGTTAAAATCCAATCTCACAGTCATACAGCATATTAAATCAGCTTGGTGTAGTTTATAGCTTTCAGACCATCTATGACTTCAGCTACATCTTGTTAAGTGTCCAGCACAGGGCAGAATGTTAAATAATGTTCATGGCAGGTAGAGGGAAAATTGTCTTTACTTCATTTCTTCCCATGTACAACAGTAAATCAGGTCTGTGGGCATGCTTCTAGTATCTCCTACTGAAGCATAAACAGCTGAATTTGATGACCCACTGAACCTTTGCACCCATAAGTGGATTCGTCTCTATTAGTGTCTACAGTGCAACAGTACTGTTGGCTACTCAGTACGGCTTTAATGGAAAAATTCAAACAGTACTTTAGAATAACATACATACACTTTGTCCTTGATTTCATGTTGCTGTTGTATTAACAAATCAAACACTATTTTCCATCACATTATATTGTATTATCATGGTTTTCTTATCTAATTTTATTGTATAGATTTCATAGTATTGTTTGATTATTGTATAGTGTCAGATACTTATATTGCACTATATTATATTTTAATATATTTTTATGATTTTTGTATTTAATAATTATCCCTGTACCTATATTTATATTGGGTAAAGTGTAGTTGCACTACTGATCTTCATTCACACAAGAAATAGTGTAAAATAGTGTAATCTACACATATATAATACAAAAAGTTTTTTAATGCTACCTAACCACTGTTGCTAATTTTATTTTTGATGTGTTTCAGTCAAATACCTTAACTCATGTTGTCTTAACTCATGTTATGTCTCTTTGCTCCTGTTGTGAGGGATCAATAAAATCTACAATTGTCATCTGTTATCTTACAACAAATCTCGTTTTGGTGTGAAAACACAAAATGAGCATTTTGTGGCTTCATAAAGCTAACAGTGTAGACATTCACGTGTCAGTAACAACTGTCTCTGAATTAGGAAAGAACAGTTTGAGTTTTCAGGGCTGGCAACACAACTAATCAAAACCAGCACTGCTGGAGTGGGATCGTCTATAAAAGAAATACCGCTATGAAATACCATTTCATTGACAGTGATGGAGCCTTCATCTAATATTTCACATTATGAGTTAAATGCTTTCAAATATAAGTTGGGTATTTCCATCCCATCTATGTAATGTACAATTATTAGTTTGCATTTAAATTGCACTTTACAAACAACTAAGTAGAGCATTGCCACAAAGCGAAAAATCATTCAAGAGCTGAATTTTCAGAACAGTGTCATTCTTCTTCACAGAAATGAAACTTTGCTGAGGTATTAGGAATTGAGTTGTGAGAATAGTGCTGAAATGGCTGAGGCGTGGTCAAGCTTACAGCCCCTTACACACATATAAATTAGCAACATTTCTAAATCCTGAAGGAAGAACACTCTGGGAGGGCTTTTTCTTTGTGAAGTGCAGGTGATTCTCCCTCTCCTCTGGGATGGGGATTTGTCTCCAGCTCCCTATGAGATTAGACCAAAGGCTCGTAAACGTTCCAGGGTAACACACAGGCACACACACTACACAGAGTGACTTTGACCAAGGTGTGAGTGTGTGGAACAAAGACAGCACAGTTGCTGTGGTGTGCTGATAACAAGCTTTGTTTGTGGGTGGGTGTGTTGTACCTTGAGTACATCATCCAAAGTCTTAATTCTTATTTCAAACCCACACAAGCTAAGATTTGGTTATCAAACCTCAATGATTCACCAGTATCAAAGAACAGCCAGTCCGCAGAATTAAGCAGCCTGTGTATGTATGTTTATGTGTTTGGGGTGATGGAGGCACCATATGTTCATCACAAAACATTTACATCTTTACATCTGTCGTGCTGGCGGTTCGGGGCGGGGGCATCACCAGTACACTCCTGGTCCTTTGTCGATTTAACATCCTTGAATTTATTAATTTATCTGATAGATAGATAGATACTTTATTACAGACTCAAGGTCCAGATATATAAATGCTAAAACCATTAAACAATCAGCAATAAATAACAATAAAAAGACAACAAGAACAACCAATAAACAACTACCCTTTTAAAAGGCAGGTATACCAGTGTTTCCAAAGTACTGAAGTATATCGCATGTCACTATATGCAATATTAGTCAGCAATAAAACAATGTTGTTTCCAGAACTATTCAAACGACAAATAAACTTATACATTAAATTTCTTAAAACAGCAGATAGTGTACTGATCCGAGATGACACAAACAATTCACTGGCACTCATCTATCTAGGCCTTTTCAATACTAACCTCAAGGCGTCATTATAGGCCACTGTCAGTTTCCTAAGACTGGCTTTTTTATAATTAGACCATAGATGAGCAGTGTACAGGGAGGTACAATAAGCTCTAAACAAAGTCAATTTTACTCCATCCGAGCACAAACCAAATTTCCGAACCAACACATTTGCTTGTGCATACAACATACGGCACTGCCGATACATATCCCCATATCCCCGTCATCAGACAAGCAATCATTTATAACATTACCCAAGTACTTAACTTCATTACACACAGTTAAAATGTTACCAGATAACTTAAAAGAAGAGAATGCAAGGGACCTGTCCTCTTTTGTGCGGCATATCATAACACTTTTAGCAGAGTTGTACTTGACATTGTGAAGCTCCCCAAACAGAGAACATACATTCAAGAGTTGCTGAAGACCTGCTGAGCTGGGACTAAAGATCACCAGATCATCTGCATACATTAAATGATTCACTATTGTACCTCCAACCATACATCCTGTTTTACACAAAGTTAGCTCCTTAGAGAGACCATTCATATAAAAATTAAACAAAAT